TCCATACAAGCAGAATTCCTTGCCCCTCCTGACTCTGTCCTTAGCCCCAGCTCCACACAGACTTCCAAATCCCCCCAAAATGAACCCACGGCGAGAAAAACCACCTTTTCTCATGCTAACAACTCTATTGTAATAACATCTTCGGGGCCATCCTCGAGGTCTCCGGGAAAAGTAAACCACTGGAGTGCTTAATCCCAGAGCAGTGCATTAACTCGTTCACACCCAGGCAGCCTGGCCAACAGGAAGGAGGAGTTTTCTCTCCTGATTTATGCTTTCCCAGCTGTCAGCGAGGAAGAGATTTATGTAAACCATCCGTTTAGGCTGAAATCCTGGAGTGGGTCCCACCTCCCTCCCCTCGACACACACACAGAGCAGAGGGGTTTCGTTACGAAGATCATTTCTTCAGAGGTTAAACTGGTGTTATTTGCCCTGGGCAAGACATGGAACACCCGAGGGAGGATCTCTGGTGGCTGTTTGCAGCCTCAGTTCCCCTGGAGCCAGGACAGGTGTGCCAAGGAACCTCCTCTCACCTGCTTCGCTGCCACTGGGCACTGTCAGGCTATGAGAAGGGAGAGATGAGAAAATTACAGGTTTTCGAAAGCTCAACAGTTTCACAGAAAAAAACCACCCTCAGAATCCAGATATTATTATTCCACTGGTCTGTTCTGTGTCTCACAGGAAATAACAAGTGACTGTAGCAAACGTTTCGGATCCAGAGAGGTAATTCAGAAATCCTGTCTCGCCTCAGAATTTCCAGATCTTAAAAGCCATTCCTGAGGAAACAACGTAATCCGCGCGAGGCTGAGACATGCCTGCGATGGTCGGAGGGACCTCGCGGCAAGCCAGGGCAGAAAACAAAATTAGAGCATCCTGGGCTGGTTCAGTGTCATCTGGAAACTTAAAATAACTCACAATAAAAAGCAACTGCCACATCCCCCTTCCCCAACAGTCCTTTAGAATTCCTGCTAAGGGAAAAATGAAGAACCACTGCTCCTGTGCTGAAAGTTTTCATAGCAGGAAATGATGTGGGGGCACCACGAGCAGCACTGCTCCTCCAGCAGGCTGAAGCAACACTGTGTGAAAGAATTGTATGCCCACACAACTATTTCACACATCTCCTTCAAAAATCCCCATCCTCATCCAAAAAAAGGATAAATTTAAATGTATTCTCCCACACAAAGAAATGAGATTTCTCTACAAGAACAGTCGTGTATGGACTGATCTAATAGTGTGGGACAACTGCAATACACCTTCACCATCACTGTTCCCACCGTGCTGGGAGGACACAGAGGCCTTTCATTCCAAGGGCTGTTCCCACCACCTTCATTACAGTAAGAAGATTTTGACTCAGAATTCTGTTGCAGTAATTGTGCCCCAAAGCCCAACCTGGAGCCCAAGCACATTAAGGCATCAATTAAGGGCTGCACGCAATCATTAGGATCCTGAGCTCATAGGGGTCCTGTCCCCATCCCAGGCCCCTGGGGACCAGCAGCTGGGGCAGCCAAAGGGTTAAAATCCCATGTCAAACAGCAAGTCCTGGCTCTGGACCAGAAGGGACATGGGAACCAGGGCAGCTGAGTTATAAAGGCCTTATTGTAGCAGCCCACTGGATTGGAAATGACTTGTAGGCCTAATGAAACAAAACTTTGGCAGTAAAACAGAATGAAAGGAATGAGACAATAAAAGAGAGGAACAAAGGGAGCAGAGTTGTTTCAGCTTAGGAAAATAAGCTCACTTTGTTGTTGGGAAAAGCCAAAGCCGATTAGGATAAACCAATGACTAGGCATAAGTCTTCCAAACTAATTACACAGTTCGCCATGTGAAGTATAATTGCAAGTCGCAAACGAAGGACTGTGCTGCTTTCACAGGAGCTGTGAGAAGGGAGCAGCACCTGGGAACAACGAGCCCTCTGAAGCCCCAGCATCAGTGCCTGCAGCTCAGGAGGTGCAGAACATGCAGGTCCTGAGAAGTGCAACTCATTAGTGCTTGGGGCTTTCTTCTGCTGGTCACAGTCCTCAGGGTGAGGCTTTAAGAGGCTGTTGTGGCTTTTTTTTCCTCTTTTAAATGATACCTGAAGCCTTAAACACTGCAACATGTTCTCATCTCAGAGCTCCACACTGCTTACCCTTCCAGACAGCCACAAAACAGGCAGATCTGCAACCCCAGCCCTGCCAACAGCTCAGGGCAGCACTGGGGCCCTCCAAGCTTCCCCTTGGACCTCCTCACCTCTAACACTTCTCATTTCAATTCTTTCTAAGCCTGCTCTTAGCAGCTTTTCACACCCAGCACAAGGGGGATGCTGCAGAGCCAGGATGGGTCAACACAGACGGTGAATTTATTTAATTTGCTAGAGTGTTTGAAACATCTTTGCCTGGAATAGCAGAGGCTCCCACAAACACAGCCTTCCTGCACAGCTCACAGCAGCTGAGGATGTCCACCTTCCCAAAAGGAAAGCTGGGACTCCTGCAGATCCTGAGCTTTACAGGAAGAGAAAATAACCACTATGAGAAATGTCACAATCCAAGTCTCAAGAGTTATCACCATTACCACATACTTTGGTGCTGGAAATCAGGCACTGTCACGGATGAAGAGTGTTTACCAAAGCTTTTCTTTCTCTTGGAGACAAAGGTCCCGGCATTGACTTTCAGAATCTTGCAGTTCCAACTTCAACACTTTCCCCTTTTGCTGCCAACTCCGGCGAGCCGAGCGAGCCCTTCCCAGTGCTGCTGGGGGCTCTGGCCACGGTGTGTGTTTTGAGAGCTACCCCTAGTTACCCAAACAGCCTCCCCTGGCTCAAAGCTCCTCTCCCCAGCAAGTACAAACAGGATTTCAGGAATCGCAGCAGTCGGTAAGCAATTTTTTCCAGGCCGCTAAGTAAGCTCAGCATTTCAGAGAGCAAAGTCACCTGAGATGCTCTTCCCAAACACGGGTGGCTCCGCGCGAATTCTGCTTTATTTCAGCAAGCTCTAAGCGAAGACAGAGCTCACCAACCGATGGGGATCACTGCTTGCAGGGCCATGGCCTGACTGGAGAGCCAGGCTGTGTGCTGAGCAGGGCACAGAGAGCACAGTCCCTGCCCCCAGGGCTGGAGAGCTGAGCAAGAAGCCACAGGGAGAGCAGGAGGGAGGACACAGCTCCTGCAAGATCCAGTGGGGCCAGTCCTGGGTCACTGTGTCTGAGCACACACCCCACTCTCCACAGGTCTTCTAATTTAGCTGAACCACAAGTCCCCATTTCCAAGGGTCATTAACCAGCTCTGCATCTTCTGACCACAACAGCCGCAGGGAGAATCACCTCAGAACACCCCAAAGCCAACAGGTCCCAGTGACACACAGCACAGTGCTGTGGAGAGAGCCTCAACACCTGCACCAAGGTCAGGCCAATGCTCCAAGCACCACTGCCTTCATGGAAGTCTTCACAAGCTACAACAAGGAAACATGAAACGGATGCAACTGGAAAAGGTGCCCTAGAAGGACACGGACCAAGTCCTGCAGGAGCTGAGCTGTAACGCCCGGGCCACGGAGCCTCGGCAGGACATCCCCAGCTGTGCTGCCACGGGAATGGGTTCCTGCCATGAGCCCAACTTGTGCAGTTTTCAGCCTGCAAATTAAGCCACTTGAAGAAAACACTTGATTTTCCCCAAGTGTTGCCTCTGGAAAGGCAAACCTCTGCTAAGCTGTCTCAAGAAAGGCAGAGCACAAAAGCAGAACCGAAGCGTCCCGAACCAGCAGTCACTCCTGAGACACACAGCCTGGCTGGCTGCACTCTCAGGGACTGTAAAACTGCAAGCATGAAACTACCAGATGGTGAAATTAAAAAGACTATATTAAGACAACATCCAGACAATATGCAAAGCACTTATATTGAAACTATTATTAACTTCAAAAATACAGGTTAGTGGAGTTCTGCAATTAGGAGTAACTACAGAAGAAGCATCCAAGAGCTCATGTAATCCTTTAATAAAAGGCTCAGCAGGCTGTAAACATCCTGCCAGAATCGAAGATTATTATTGAAAATAAAATGACTGGTTTGCAAAACAACTATCAATCCAGCACAGGAACCATTTATAAACTCACCTCCTCAGCCTCGGCAGAATCCTGCCTGGCTTGGGCTTTTCAGGGCAGATAAAAGAAACACAAACTAACTACAAGGAATGGAGCTGCTTTGCTCTGGGATACCCTGCTGTGTCCTCACGCAATCCTGCTCTGAAACACCAACTGCTGCACTCCAAAGAGCAGGAATTGAGCTGTGGAGCTGGAGCCCACGGAGTCCCCACAGAAGGTGGGACCACAAGCTGCTCCCAGAGCAGGCAGCTCTCCTGAACCAGCGTCCAGAAGCCCTGGGGATCCAGAAAGCTCCGTGAAATTGCTGGCACTGAGCTCCAGTGAGAGCCTGGACTGTGCCTCTGAGCTGCTGCACCACAGAAAAGACTATTCTGGCAATGTTCAGGTCTCCCGAGCATGAACTTGTCTGTTTGGTTTTTTTTTTTAAATTATGTCAGGCGTCTCCATATATTTCCACAGGATCTTGCAGGCTGATTGTCTAATAAGGAATTCAGTGGCTATTCTGGTGACTCCCATATTGCTCCTGCTATTCCCTTGATCCCTTCAGGCACTTTCACAACCTAACAAGCTCCCCAATATCTCTGTGTGCTCCTTTTGCCCCTGCAGTCAGGGGAAACAAAGGCTGATCTTACTGAGGAGACAACTGTGCAGTCATTCAGCTAAGGTCAAATTCATCCTGGACAGACACAGATCCACCTCCCAAGGATGTTTTCTGTCTTCACTGGATGTAAACAGTGTTGGCAATGTTTTACACACACATGCAACAAACAGCAAAGGAATTCCAGAGACTCCGAGACACGACACGGGAAGGCCAAACCTGTGGCCTTTCTTTGAGCTCAGCCCTCGCTGCACTTTGGGCTTTCAAAACACACTAAGACAAAGGCAAGGAAAAAAGAAGAATGCAAACTATGTGGTGCTCACTTGGGCAGAACTTACCTTGCCAAACTGTTCGAAGTATTGCTTTACGTCTTCCACTACTGTGTTAGCCGATAATCCACCTACAAATATTTTCTTTGTTCTTGTGACCATCTGTAAGAAATTACAAGACAAGCACACGGTTTAACCAGATTATTTCAAATATGTGGGAAAAAAAAAGAAATACTCCTCAGATCCCAACCCCAACCCATATAATGAGAATATTTCTTCACAAAAGCAATTCCAATTCGATTTGATTAGATACTTTTTCTCTTTGTCTTGCTTTGTTTTTATTTGAGAGATGGCTGAGTAAAGGCTCCCAATAACAACTCTAGCCCCCGGATATTTTGTTTTAATAAATGATTTTTATTGTGTTTCTCAATGCAAATAGAAGTGAGGAAGGAGTCCAAGTGCCATATCCTCATAGCTCCTGCCTCAGAAGCGACGTGCCGCTCCCCCTTCTCCTGCAGACAGGGTGAAAGCTCTTTGGCAGACAAAAGGCAATTACACCAAATCGAAGAGATGTGTTATTAAGTTTCCATGGGTCAGTTCGAAAGGAACTCGCACAGTTCCTTTGAAAATAATCAAACCATGAACAACAGCCAGAGCTGCCACTGCAGCATCCTGCAGCTGCCACAACCCAACGGGGCTGGCTCAGCCCCAAGAAACCTCTGCTGTTCCCCAGATCCTCCTGCCAACCCATGGGCACCTGAATTCGGTGACACAAGGCAGAGGGATGGTGCTGGATTCCCTCTGGAGAACACACCACGAACAACCCAACATCCACAACCTGAAGCCCTTGAGGATGGACAAGGATCAGAGCAGGAACTCCAACCCCAGTGGTGGCAGAGGACATTGGTGGCCTTGGTGGACAGATCCCAAACCACTTGGCCCTTGTGGCTGCCTTAAATCACAGCGAACCAGGACAATGTTGTCACTGTGTTCCAAAGGGATGAGCATCACCTCCACAGGCTTGGGCAGAGAGGAAATGCCCCAGCCTGGCCCAGGCCATGGCCCTACAGCTGGTGACAGCTCTGCTGCAGCCTCCCCAGCACCCAGAGGTGTTTGAGCACTGCACATTAACTCCACAGCCAACAAACACCTCAACACACAACTCCTGCACTGCTGGAGCCTGGAGTCACCACAGAGCCCCCCAGCACACAGCAAATCAGCACCACTCCCCTTCCCCTGCCCATGCAGGGAGACCTTCCCTCCATCAGCCCCAACGATGCCTTACAGACCTGCACTTTATTTGGTTTGGTTTTTGGTTTTTTTAGCAAGTTAGGAAGAAAAAGAGAGGGAAAAAAAAATCAGTGTAAAAATTCAATTATTTTTTCCTGGCTGCAATCTAGGGCTCCGAAATTGAAGCCCAAGCATATATTTTTCTGTAGAAAATTGTCATTTACAAATAAAGAATTGGCTAAAGCCGACTTGTAACTAAAGGATTTTGCAGGGCTGTCAAGAGCCCTCTGCCTGCCAGCATCTGATTTAAGATCAGGCCAAGCTTCTGTTGTCATACAAAAGAGGGAGGAAAGCAATTATTCTAAAGCAGTATTTGAAATTATCATCATTTTTATATTTGACCAAGAAAGAAAGAAAAAGAGAGCTACTGCTTTTAGCAGCAAGATTGAAGGTTAAAGCAAAAAATAAATAAATAAAAAAATAGAAAGACCACTTTGTTTCAATAGCTTCAGTCAAAGAAAATATTGGTAATGACAAGCAAATTCACAACATTTTAATGCCTAGAGATGTGTTGCGAGCTGGGAAATGGTTTCAGAAATCAGCTCTTTGGTACCAAAGTGAAGCACAAAATTAAGTCTGCTTTTACAGCTACGTCTCCCTGAAGAGAAGGTTCAATTGCTTTGTTACCACATTCCCCTCAGCACAAGAACAGAAAATATGTAGTCTGAGAGATTCCTTCCATCCCGACGTGCCCCCGCAGCAGGTTCCACTGCCTCCCTTCCACCTGTGGCACTTGTCTGTGCCCCTGGCAGCAGCTGGGAGACACGCTCGGGTCTGGACACCCACCCATCCCTTCCCCACACAGGTGTGGTGTGTGCAGCGCAGGTAAGGGATGAAACCTGCTCAGCACAGTGCCAGGACAGCTGCCCATGCTCAGCCTCGCCCTGGCACAGCCCAGCACGGAGGAGCTGCCGCTGGCATCACCCGTTCCTCTGCCCGACACCCATGCCAGGTGAGCTGCCCTCTGCAGCTGACAAGTCTGTGCTGGTACAGCCTCACCACTTTCCAGTCATTAGGTAACTGCAGTGGGACTTGGACCAGCTGGAAACAAAGCCTCCAACTCCTGCTCTAACCTGCACATCCTCCCTCAGCACCAAACACGTGATACAAGGCAAAGTTTCCTCAGGGAAAACCACAGGGCATGGGGGTCCTGCTTGGCACGCGGCCCCCAGGGGCAGAGCAGAGCACCAGACCCACAGCCCCGAGGCCTGGAGCACACACTGTCAGCCTAGGGGCACTTGGAGCACACAGCAGCAGCCTAAGGGCTCACAGCCAGAGACTGGCAAACACACTTCCAAACGTGATGGGACATTCAAAAGACATAAGAAAAAAACCACATGCAATCACTTCAGGATTTTCCTCCAGCACAGATCCTTCTGTGTCAGCCACTGCATGACCAGCAAGAAAGACTTGCACAGAATCACAGAACCATTTAGGCTGGAAAATACCTCCAAGATGTTGAGCCCAACCTGTGCCCCGTCACCACCTTGTCAACTAGACCATGGCGTTAAGTGCCATGTCCAGTCATTTCCTGAACACCTCTAGGGATGGTGACTCCACCACCTCCCTGGGCAGCTCCTTCCAATGCCTGAGCACCCTTTTCCACAAAGAAATTCCTCCTGATGTCCAGCCTGAACCTTCCCTGGTGCAGCTTGGAGCTAAAAGTATGCTCTTCTAAAGCATATCCAATTGCCAGGCACAGGCACATGAGCTCTAAGAAAACCAACATTAACTACAAAGTCCCCAAATCTCCCCAAATGTGCTAATGAGGGCACAGGAGGGACTGCCCTGCTCCTCACCAAGCACCCTCAGCAGGAGACAGAGCTCCAGCTGGTTCCTGGTTCAGCCTAGCAAGTGATGGTCTCGCTCTCTAACATGATATTCTTTCCACCCCAGATCTGTACTTGTTTCTGGGAGGAAAACCAAAGGCTTAAAGCATATTTAATGAAGTGCACTTGGTATAAACATAACAGATGACAAAGGATCAGAGGCACCAATGATCAGAGGCACTGGTAACTTTAGCTGCTCTCTAAAATTAAAAGCTTTTTGAAATCAAAACTTCTTGTTTGGCTCAGAAAATATATCAGCATATATTCAACAAAAAAACCCATGATTTTAGAAGAACATTTGTGTATAAATCAAAGATAAACACTCATTATCATTACTTTTTTATAACCAACAACCCAAACTTGAGAGTCTCCAGCCCGAGGTCCCTGCAGTGAAAGTCACTGAGGTACTCTATATTTTCCTGTGAGTAAATTCAGGATCTGCTTTCTGGAGGTTGCTTACAACGGGGACACTCCCCCAGCACTGAGGGAGTCACTGCAGCACTGGTGGGTTCAGATCCTCTGGCAGCAGCTCCATCCTGCCCTTTCCTCAGGTGGAACAGAGGGGAAGTGAATCCATCCCCAATACACGTTCCATGAATGACTCCAGGAGGTCTGGATCACTCCACAACACTTCCACCTCTTTTTTTTTTTTTGCCTCTGGTTTCCACTGGCAGGGTAAGGTACTCAGCAGTGGCACTGCAGGCTCTGCAGAGCGTGGGGCTGAGCCTGGGGAGGGTCTGAGTGCTGAAGGTGTCTCTCTCTCACTGCTAATTGTGAGCACAGCAGAAGGGCTGTTTGCAGACAGTGCTGGTGTGGAGTTCATCAAAACACACGTGACTGCTCCTGCGAGGAGGCAGCTGAGGTTACACACTCTTCGCTGCTTTGGCTTTTGAAAAATAGAATCACCTTTGTGTTCTGAAACTGAGCAAACACTTCAGGTGGTGCAGAAGCAGGAAAAAAACCCTTCCCTGCCTTAGCTGGGCGAGTCTGCTGAGCTTCTGCCATTCTCTGCAAGGTCACGGATGTAATCAGATCGGTTTGGGGCATATCAGGTAAATCTCTACACAACAAAGACACAGCCTCGGGAACAAAAGTCCTGTCCCACCCCAACACGTCAGGACACACGTGAGCTAAACCCAACCGACCTGGGGGAACGGAGGAACTGAGCTCAGCCCTGACCCGGTGGGACCCATCACAGCTCCGCGTCCTCAGCCTCTCCGCACGGGGAGGTGCACTGGAGTACTGATAGTGAACCTGCCCCACAAACTGCTGAAATTAGCATTAATGTCAGATGGAGCTGGTTATGCAGATGAGCAGGTTCCAGAGCGCTCTCCTCCCGGTGTGAGTGTGGGTACACACAGCCCAGCCCACTCACCCCAACGTTCCAGCACTGCACCTCCTAAATAGGTTTGTAACTGCAAAAAACATCTCAGGTATCTGTGCAGCTCTGCATTTTATACCCCATTGTGCTGTACATCCAAACTACAGCATTACTTCTAATTAAAAACAACAATAACTCATGTAGCTGGGAAGGGACCTTGTTAGCTGAATTGCCAGGCTTCTCTGGCAGAGCACAAACCATGAGAATTCTCCATGATTTTTATTTTTTTTTGCCTCTGGGATCCTCCTAGAGGAAGTTCCAAAAACTATGAAAAACTAAACTGGAATGTGATGCAAATACAGGATGAAAAAGGCAACATCTAGTGCAAGCTGCCAACCTTCTCCATTCAGCAAGCACAAGAACACCCCAGCATCAGCCCCTTCCCCAGTGCTTCTGTATGGCATTTCTGCATGTATTTCTGAGCACTGTGTTCCACCTCTGAGCAAATACTCCACTCTCCGGCTCCACAACAGCCAGAGGGACTCGAACCCGTGCAAAGGCAGCACAGCTTTACGTGCCACGTACAACACGCTTAAGTATTCAAAATAGGATTTCAGCAAGACTTAGGCGGTGCAAATACCTTGTGCCTGACCCCTGTGTAAGCTCATGTCATCCTGTGAGAACTGCTCGAGCTACACAAGTATGTGGGAATGAAAGGCCTC